CACTGGCCCTACCCATGAACGTGGACACACTCTGGACCTGGTATTCACGACGGGGCAGGTAGAGGATGACCTGAGGGTGAAGAACTTATGTTTGACTCCCCTGTCATGGTCAGATCACCTCCTAGTGAGGTTTGTGCTCGAGAGCGGCCTCTCCCTCTATAAGAGTGCGGACCCGATTGTATGGGCCCGCCCCCGGAGCCGGATGGTTCCGGATGGATTCCTGGGGGCCCTGGGGGAATTTCCGGCTGACAAGACTGGTGCTCCTGTCGAGGCTCTGGTCGAACTGTGGAACGGAGAGATGACCAGGGCTGTGGACACAATCGCTCCTAAGCGTCCTCTCCCACCGAGCAGAGTCCGCTCTTCCCCTTGGTATACACCTGAATTACGGGCGATGAAGCGAGTTGGGAGACGGCTAGAGCGTAGGTGGAGGAAATCACGGGATGAATCTGACCGAACATACTTGAGAGCCCACTATCGGGCCTATGCTGTGGCGGTGAAGGCGGCGAAAAAGAAGTTTTTTTCTGCTTCCATTGCCTCCTCACAATGCCGTCCAGCGGAGCTTTTTCGAGTGGTGCAAGGCCTGGTTCTCCTGGGTCCTAAGGAAGATCCGATGCCACCCTCAAAGGCCCGCTGTGACGACTTTGCCAGGCATTTCAGGGAGAAAATCGCTCAGATTCGTCACGAGCTGGACTCCACTAATGAATCAGAGGTCTCTGAGGAGTCGCCAATGCCACCGTCTGGTCCAAAATTACTGGAGGAATTTCAATTATTGCGGCCCAATGATGTGGACAAGGTGCTTGGAAGAGTACGTCCCACCACGTGCCTATTGGATCCTTGCCCGTCTTGGTTAATAAATAACTCCAAGCACGGGATTGGGACCTGGATTTTGGAAGTGGTTAACGCTTCTCTGAGGGAGGGTCGAGTGTCTGCCCCTTTAAAGGAGGCGGTAATACGACCGGTCCTGAAGAAAGCGTCACTGGATCCAGAGATGGCCACTAACTATAGACCTGTGGCCAACATCCCGTTTCTGGGCAAGGTGCTGGAGCAAGTGGTGGCGGGACAACTCCAAGCACTCTTGGAGGAAACTGATTATCTGGATCCTTTTCAGTCCGGCTTCAGACCCGGGTACAGTACTGAATCTGCCTTGGTCGCCCTGTACGACGACCTGTGCAGGGAGAAGGACAGGGGGAGTACATCCCTGTTGGTTCTTCTGGACCTCTCGGCGGCTTTCGATACCATCGACCATGGTATCCTTCTGGATAGACTTGCGGGATTGGGGGTTGGAGGCACTGCTTTGCAGTGGTTCCGCTCCTATCTCGACGGTCGATTCCAGAAGGTAGTGCTGGGGGACCATGTCTCTACGTCATGGCAGCTATGCCATGGGGTACCACAGGGCTCCATTCTATCCCCTCTGCTATTTAACATCTATATGAAACCGCTGGGAGAGGTCATCAGGAGGTGTGGGCTGCGGAATCATCAATACGCTGATGATACCCAGCTTTACCTCTCATTCTCCACTAATCCAGGTGAGGCAGTGGCTGTGCTGAACTGGTGCTTGGCCGAGGTAAGGGAATGGATGAGGGCCAATAAACTGAAACTCAACCCAGACAAGACGGAGGTCCTGTTGGTTGGCGGATCGGGTTTCGGAGAGGGTGGATTTGACCTGGTCCTGAATGGTGCAACACTCCCTCTTAGGGATAAGGTCCGCAGCTTAGGTGTACTCCTCGACCCGGAGCTTTCTTTGGAAGCTCAGGTGACAGCGGTAGCGAGGAACGCCTTCCTTCAGCTTCGGCTGATTAATCAGCTGCGCCCCTACCTGGAATACGACTGCCTGGCGACGGTGACACACGCGCTGGTGACTTCCCGCCTAGACTTCTGTAACGCGCTTTACGTGGGGCTTCCCCTGAAGACAGTCCGAACACTTCAATTGGTGCAAAATAGAGCTGCCAGGTTGCTGACGGGGACGGGGCGTTATGCTCACATGACTCCAGTCCTCCATCAGCTTCACTGGCTTCCCATTGAAGCCCGGGCCCAATTCAAGGTGTTGATTATGACCTACAAAGCCCTAAACGGCTTGGGTCCTGGCTACCTGAACGAGCGCTTACGTCCGTATATGCCCGACCGCCCTTTGAGATCTGCGGGAGAGTCCCTTCTCCGGGAACCCTCCATGAAAGAAATTAGGAGAGTAAGTACCCGGAGGAGGGCTTTCTCTGCGGTGGCGCCCAACCTATGGAATTCACTCCCCAAAGAGGTCCGCCTGGCACCGTCGTTACTGGTTTTTCGGCGCCAGGTAAAGACCTTTTTATTTAAACATCATTTCAATTGTTAAAACATATGATCTGGCCTGGGCAACTTCTTCTTCCTTCTCTTTCTCCTCCTATATTTTTATTTTATACTGATAATTTTAATTTTGTATTTGTAAATCAATGTATTTTTGTATTGTTATATTTAATGGTAATTTATTATGTACTATTGTATTTCAATGTATTTTATCATGTTGTAAGCCGCCCCGAGGTTTCGGCAAGGGGCGGCATAGAAATGTTATAATAATAATAATAATAATAATAATAATAATAATACATCAGTTGATATTGGTATTGGTTAAAGATACAGCTTCATGTAAAGAGAAACTATGCATGGCTTACAAAAGAACTAGAAATATAGGAGACTGGAGAGTTGGAAGTCTTATATTGGGTGCAGGCGTACTCACAAAGGTCTGCCAGGATCAGCTCAACAGGAAATTTTCTCTGTGAACTTTGTCCCTATTCTCAATATTGAAACAGTTTGCAAATCCCAAAGATAGGAAAAGTGTGCTGAAAGATTTATTATATGCAACAGTGCATTTGAGTTAAATATTATACTTTGTGTTTGCAATAAATTGTAGACACATAAAATTATCAGCAATCTCAAAAGCATAACAGGAGAATGTATTAGTAATATTAAACATCAAAATGTGGGAGCAGCATTTGCACAACAATGGGAAGATAAATCCCATAGAATAAGAGAACTTTCTTTTTGGGCAACAGAGACTAGCTGTAAACAGACAGAAGGTTCTTTTGGAAAAAGAAGCTAGAAATGTGTTGAGGTTAGCCTTGCAATACTGCTCTAAAACACAAGCATTTCCAATCAATCAGGATTTGTGCACCTGTTAGCTTGGCTTCTCCCTGTGCTGGTACAGCTCAGGAAATTGAGTTTCACTGTGTCAATTTGCTTATTCCTGTATCTATATTATGGTTTTATTTATTCCTTTATTATGTTTATATCCAACCTTTTTTCCTTTCAAGGAACTCAGGGGTGGACTTTGTGCCAATCTTTTATTAGAGTCTTTAGTCTTGATTAAAAATTGCATTGCTATTGTTCTAATAATGGCATACTTATATATTTTAAACATACAAAGGTATGTTTAAAATCTATAATAAGGTCTTTGTATACTGTTCTATGGATTTGGCAGACGGCAACCTACATGCAGTCTAAAATACATTGGAACCCTTTCTGAGGAATGAAACATCTCTTTTGCTCACTCTTGCCTTTTGGTATCCTTTCTGGGATTTCCTTTGTCATTGGATTCTGTATGATAGGAACAAGCTGTACACAGATTGCTTAATAGCTGAGAAGGAAAAGCTCTCTTTGGTTTCATTGTACATGACATGATTAACACTCTGATATGGTATCCAGCTATGGCTATGAGACTGAATGTGCATTTTCCAGAATGTGGGTCTGTGTGTGTAAAAATTTTTGCTGTACTGCCATTGCTTCTGGATTCACTAATCTGCACTTGTCTTGCAAGAAGAAATCATTTCAGGTGCAAGACGCTATCACATGTGTTGTAACTTGGGCAGCTGGTTCAAGGGCTGGAGGGTAGGGCTGGGGTAAGAGGCAAATGCAGAGGAATGGACATGCTTGAATTGGCATGGCATTGAATATGCAGTCTCAGAGACTATTTATGTTAGCTCAAAGGTTTGGAGGGAGGAAGACTGTAATTACAACCCTATGTTTAATGCAGTGCCAGAAAACCCTCTATGGGTTGGCAGCATCCTTTACACTGATGAAGCTGCCTGTTGCTTATTCTTAAAAAAACCTTCGGCAATGAAAATGTTCAGTTTGTTATAGCACACTCAGCCCATGTCACCCATTCTTGCAAAAATGCTGCAAGTATCCCTCCTGCTGCAATCGCCTACACGCTTACCTGGCTGTAAATCCCAACCTGGTGTAGTGGTTAGTGCAGGCCTGTGGAGAGCTGGGTTCAACCATGAAGTTCACTGAGTGCCTTTGGGCCAATCACAGACTCTCAGCCAAACTTACCTCATAGAATTATTCTTGTGAGAATAAAAGGGAGCTATGTAAGTTACCCTAAGTTCCTCACAAGAGAAAAAGCGAGATACAAATGCAATGAAATAATTATACTTAATAGCATTCTGTATAGGCATACACAGAATTGAATTGCACAAGGGCCATTCCGCTAATTATAATTTGTTTCCACAAACTGATTATCATGAGGCACAGTTTTGATTGCTTTATTTGTTGGTGTTTAACCATTCAAGGCAGTTGAGAGTTTTTTCTAGCTTTTAAAGCCTGTTTCATGGCACCCTACAGTCAAGAACTGGAGTTGCTTAAGCTGAAATATGAAACGTCGGTGATGTTAATTAAAACTGATCTCCCGACTTTTCCATCGGTTGATGACCGGATTCCAAGAGGGTTCACCATGGCACCAGCTGCGAGCGCTCGGATTGTCGCAGCAACAGAGACGCCTCGAGCGGGGGCTTCCAGTTCCGCCCTGCGGGGGGCGCTCTGAGAGCAGATGCCAGCCACGCAGCAAGGACCGCAGACCAGCTACTCTATGATGAAGATGCTCCTTCCCCACCCCATACTCAGTCGCGTGCGCTCTCTAGATTCAGATACGAAATAGCAGGAAGTATGTTACGCTATGAGACACGTACTTCCGGCTATTTCGTTCCGCCTTCGGACCGTGGTGACGTCATTGCGCCGCAACGTGCCTCCGGCCTCGCGGGTGCGCGCGCATCTTGCTGGGGCATGGCCGAGCTGGGGCGGTGCTTTCTCGGGAAGAGGGTTAATCGAGGGAGGGTCCCTTGACTGACGGAGTGACTTGGCGCGTGCGCAGGGGCGGCTCCGCCCTTTCGCGCCTCGGGCGGCTTGGGGTCGGCTAGGCCTGCTTCTGTCCCGAGTTAACCGCGAAGTGCCCGCGAGGAGGGTAGCTGCCCTGGAGCCGCAGGGATGGTGGGCGCGGGGAGATTCGGCTCCTGGCTCCGTGAAGCCGTCGAGGCCCCCTTTGGACCACATCGAGGTCTTTTGCCGCCTCTCCGTCGGACTTGGCTAACTCGCCGGTTTCCAGGTGTGGCGGGCCAAAGCTGCGTTCATCCCCACCCTGGAGGGCGCCGGGTGTAGGGAGGCCGCTGTGTGTTCTGGGTTTTGCCTGCTGCAGCGGGGTGGGGGTAGCTGCCTTGGCTCATCAAGCGTTGTAATAGTGCATTGGGTCCTTCGCTTGTTCTTTTGTGGGGACGAGTTGTGTGATGGCACAGCAAGCTCAGCAATCTTGGAATGCGAGAATGGGAATTCCTTAGGGCTTGTCTGCTTGGCTTGGGTTGTAGAGATACGATACTCTGTAAGGAAGCAACATGTCACATGCTCTAGAAAAAGCAGCACTTCTGTTTTGTAGAAAAAATAGCTGATCAGCAGCTGTGGTAGGGAGGAGGGGCAATTAAAACAATGAACATTAAATGGTAATGTCTCTTTTTTGTCTCTTACAGTAAAGGCTAGAAAAGTGGGGGTGGGGAGAGCTGGACCCACCGCCAGGAAATGCCCTAAACCTCTTGGTGCCTTTTCCTTTAAGCTCTGCAGTTACCAGTCTATACCCTGCCCAGGTGGGTAGGCCAAGCAGCAGCTGCACCTCCAAGAAACAGCATCCTCCTCATTTTTGCTTGGGTAGTTTTGCTAGGCCTCATATTTTCCACTGCTGTCCATACAGAGGGGATGTAAGAACAGGTGAAGTCTTCCACTGTCTCTGGAAGGCCACAGTAACCATCATTTGGTCAGTCTTTGCCGCTGAAAGAAGGCTTGTGTGATAGTATTAATGGGCTTCCTTTTGGTGGAAAGAGCATGAATATAAAGTATGTACTTTTTGTTTCTTGAACAGAAAATTTGGCAACTTTGAGAGGTTACTGCCTTGCTCATACTGAAATTTTGTTTTATCTCTAGTACTGAAGTCATCACCAGAGTGAAACATACTCACATGTGATCAAATTAGCCTTACCATTTGGGAAGTGTTACAGGTTTTTCTTCAGGTAATACATTTGAATTATACAATATCTAGGTCTGCCTATTAAATATGGTAATCAATTTTGCTGCAAGCCATAAAAGGCTATGGGCTAGGAAATGGTGGCTGTGTAGCTGGGCCTCTTGGGGTTCAGCCTTGTACCTGCTAGCCTGACCTTGCCCTAGATTAAATGAGAACTTGGGGTTTGCCCTCTGCAGTAACAGGTGTGAGCATTCTACCAGTAGATAGATGGTCATGTATGATACTGCATACAGTTTTGTGACTTCGGAAAAACTTACTGTGGCCTACACTCACTGCCTAACAGAGGTCTGTTAATGGCTGAGTTTAAGTAATGAAGGGTATGGGCAAGGAGACATGTGCTTGGCCAGGCCCAGGCAGCTTGCCATTAGTAGATGCATTTCTGAAACACTGGCCAAAGTCATGGTGAGACCAAAATGCAGCAGCTGTTAATGACTGATTTTAAGTCTCTTTGCTGGAATAATGAGAGAAAATGTTACAGTCAAGAAAATCATTGAGTTTCCAGCACTTCAGATGGAGAGATGGAATCTGAGTGTCCCATGTGCATTCAGCCTGAGGGGCACCTAGTTCAGTTTTGTAATTGAACTCAGAAAATACAAACAGAAAACATTATTTTCAGTTCTGGTAACTCAAGTTGTGCTGCTTCTGAAGGGCAATTGTATTTCTGTTACATAGTTAGATTGAGACCTGGGAGTTTCCAGGCAGCTGACAAACTCTTTTAATCTAGGAAGCCATAAGGATTAAATAGTGCTTTGCAGGACATAAGGATCATTTTCTGGATAGAAGAACTCTGGGTTGGATGATTTCTGGAATACTGCTCACTTCATTTAAAAGACGATCTGTTGTGTGTGTGTAATGCAAATGGCTAAACCTTTGGCTTTTGGCACCTCCTGCACAGAATTCTGTTGCCAGGTTTTTGAGTAGACATTACCAATGGCAATCCTTTGTGTGGGGAGGATGGTGCAGAAACATCGTATTTTTCTGCACCATCAGAAGTGTTCAAGGGGAACCCTTCCAGCCCAAAATCAGTTCCTCCTGCCAGAAGTCTGCCTTTCTGATATACAAAGATAAAGGTTCCTCCCTTCCATTCAAGTGGGGTTTGCACTGCATGTCTTGTGGAAACCCAAACTTCTTTGGCAACTTGAACTTGAAGTGCTACAGCAACAGGGAGATTTCCTCCTTTGTGCAAGTATGGTGGAAAGGCTGTAAGGCTAAATGTTTCAGATGGTGGTCCAAATCATGGCAGAGCATGGCCAGTTGGAAATCAGGAAGGGAATAGAAAGGCTACGGTTATTTCCACCACGCATACTATAAGGCTATATATAAAATCAAGAAATTTTCCAAGGAATTGCCCAGGCAACCAGCCTTTCATGCAAGCTTATCCCAGCTCCCTTTTCTTTGCAGAAACAACTCACCCATCACAAGTTAGAGAGGCTGCTAGCTTTCTTACTCCAGCATTTGCTGGATTTATTTGTGTTGTGACCTGCTTTGGCCGGCCACAATAGATGGATTGTGTGAAGGAACCACAGAGAAACAGGTGGGGCAGACATCAGTGAGTCTGCAAATAAATGGGCATATTACTGAAGTTAATCTAAAGAAGTGCCCCTCATTTTGTCTTATTCCACTTCAGGCCTACAAGTTTAATCTGGTTTTACAATTTGGGATTATGCTGCCATTTACTGAATCATTGCACTTCTATGCAAACTCTAAAATGTGTAACTGATTTTTATAAACTTGATTTTTTTTTACAGAGATGTAAAGTGATTATCAAGCTCTGGAACATTTAAAGTTTTGTTGAACTGGCCATGAAGCTACAGCTATTCAGCAGTATTGAAATGTAATAAATCAATCGTTCATAGCGCTTGAAAGATAAAGTGTGCCAATTTAATTTCCAGTAGAAAACTGTAAATTGAATCCTTATGTAAATAGTTACTTTGTGGCAGATTTTGTAGCAGTTCCAAATTGTCTTAGAGCCTCCTTTGCCTTATTAGGCACAGAGGAGAAATGCAAACAACTGCTCATGTGGCTTAGAAATTCAGGGTGCTTCGCTAAACCCTTCTAAAGTCTTTATGCTGTTACAAATCTAGAGTTCTATTTCTCTATGGTTGTAGCTTGTATATTAAACAACCTTCATCTGTAAATTTAGAGATGTCCTCATTTACACTGAACTGTAATTACGTTAAAATCAGTCTGTCAATGACTAACAAGTATTTCTTTTAGGTGTTAGTGGTACAAAAAGAATGGAAAATGATGGATTATTCTGCACCTTCTTACAGGTAACTGATATTTCAAATCTCCCCTAAATATGTTTTAGATGCAGACAGGGGGAAGTTACTATGGAGCCATATATTAAACTAAAGCTCTACAGGTTTATGCTTCTGTTGCACAGTAGGCCTTGGAGGGAAGGCAAATTAAACTAGATATACTGCTAAACTCACTTGTGCATTGCTACATAACTTATAGGTTCTTCTGTATTTTCTTCTTGCAATTGGCAAACTATTAGGCCTATGACTCTTTCTTATTGCTCTAACTGCGTTGTAAAGCATTATATATTTCCAGTACTTAAATAAAAACTAGGGAATACATAGCTCAAAGTGTACTGGCTTTACAGTAATATTCAAAATTTAGTGAAAACATTGAATTCTTGTTTTGACATGACTTAGAATGACTTCTTTCCTGTATGCCAAAATAAAGCAACTGGAAGTATGAAGAGAACTTGAGTATGAAATACTGGATGTAGCAGAGTTGATTTATATTTGGAACAAAGGTGGTGTGCATTTAATGCTGTCTTCCTTAAACCTGGTGCCTTCCGTGTGTGCGGGGTTCTTCCTTAATCTGGTGACTGCTCCAGTTCTATAATCTCTGACAGCATTTGGTCATCCTGATGAAAGATGAATACAATATACCTGGAAGGCTGTGTTAGTTAAATAGCTACATGATTCCTTCAGGCAGTCTTAAGGGGTCATAAAAACATATAAGGGAAGTCTCACAGTTGTAAGTTCTGCTATGTTTCTGGAGGGTGTGCATGTGGGGGAAACAATCCTATCTTGGGAATAAAATGCATACAATTTGATACTAATGTGAATCCTGAATATGAAAAATAAACAATTAGCTTGTTGTAAGAGCTGCTTTAGAGCTGGCCTTTAGTCTTGTAGGCCTGGACCTGCTTGAGCGATGCACTCTGTAATTTCACAGGTAGCATGTTAGTTTTGGTTACCTTGATTCATGGAGTGCTAAACTAACTGGCTGCCTTGGCACAGAGAACCCTTGTGTGTAGTCTTGGAATTCTTCTGTAAAGGTGGCCGACAAATTTTCCTCAAACATGCTACAGTTTGCATCTGTCCTGAGAGTACCTCCCAACTACAAATGTTGCTGTTACGTATCTTGTGATTTACCTGGGAGGGCAGCTTTTTTTAAACCTAGGATTTTTAATACTAAAGTGCATGGAAGCTGCTGCACAATTCTTCCATTAACCTTTACTTTTAATAATTGCTGTGAACTGAGATATTTTGACTACCTAGGAGAATTTGCTGCCCTGTGCTTAGGGTTCCAGTTCCTAAAATGAGTAACAGCACACTTGTTGGTGGTAAAAGATAAAAAGCTCATATGTGGGACCAAATTGTCTACCCACAGAGTAGGCTAAAGTTGCATGACCTCTTCTATGATTTTCCCTTCTTCAAACATCCTGTGCTACGTTGGCTCATTCTGCATTAGAAGTAACTAATAGAATTGCATTTGGTGGAATTAGCCATGCTTTGGGGTGGGTGTAGGTAGATACTTATTATATCTGTGTGTGAGTCACTGTTTTGAGCTTCTAGTCTGTAGACAAGCCAAGATCAGTGACTTACTCAGAAACACAAGGGATGGTGGGTAACTTTCTACTAAAACTGGGTCTCTGATCTTAATTAAGAAACAAGTAGACTTTATCTGAAAGGGAAATGTTGGTTTAAGATTTCTTGTTTTGAAGATTCTGAGTTTTCTTCAGCTCATCACAATTATCATTATTTTTTCAGGTGAACCCTGGTAGAAGAATAATGCTCGAGTACTGCAATAAGAACACAGTAATTATATTCCAGTTACATGTACTGTTGTTTCTTGTTTTCATGTAATGTTTTCTGGTTTATACATAGTAATCTAATAAATGGTTTCAAATGCTTCCATGACTTGAGTGCCTGAATGTCTTGCATATATCTCATATTGATCTTTATACTGTTAACAGCAAGTAGTAATGTGTGCATTCTTGCTATCCCTGCTTATAGCCATTTTATGATGTGGCAGCTGCATCTTTAAATTGTTAGCTGTGGCATCCTTGTCTACCACTAGAGGGAGACAATGTACACTCTATGGTCTGCCCAGTGCCTCTTCCAAGCAAACTGCTGTAATTGCATTCCAAGAATTCTTAACTTTGCAGATTATATAAAGATGATAGATGTACAAAAAGCAAACCATCTGACAAGTACTGTGCTTTTTAGCAACCCACTTTAGGAAGCCTGAAGGAGCTTCAGTAGAAGATTCCAGTAGCTTATTCCGTATAAATGATGTGCAGTGAGCACATATGAGCATCTACCTGGCTAATTCAAATTTCTGTATGCAATTTAAAGTGCCAGAAGGCAGGGATGAAACAGAAGGGGACAGAGGAGTGCTGTGCTTGAATTGAGAATGTTGTTTCCTTACAGAAATTCGTATATGTCTTACTTGTTGAGAAGTTAGTTTTGCTGCACTTTCTCACTAATTAAGAGGGCTTCAAGGAACAGTTTTTAAGCTTAGCTATTTGTGATTACAGAAGGCCTCTTACTTTAGACATGGGATATGCAGGGCCCTCTCTTAGTGATAACCATTAAAAGGATTGCCTTAGCATTCATATGGCTGTGGGAGTGTATTTCCTCAGAGAATGAAGCTGTGATAATGAGGAAGTGAACTATATATGTACCTTAAAGATATGAAAATGAGCACTCTGATAAAAATTGTCTCTGCTAGGAAGGTTATGGCCCAAATGCATGTTCATACTTACATAATTAGATTACATATGTATTGTTTATCAACTGTGGTCCTTAAAAATTCCTGGCCATACTTAAAACAAGTGTGAAACTTCAAACGGGTATGATACTAAACAACTTAGGACCAGGGTACCTGCAAGAGAACTTTCCCTTCTTATTGATCTGTCTGGTCACTAAGTTCATCAGATAGCATGCTCTTTCGTGGTCCCACATGGACCTATGTCCCTGTTGGAGTCCACCCAGAGAGCTCCCTTTCTGTGATGCTCCCTGCTTCTGGAGGTCAAACAGGAACCAGCGTTGTTCTTTTTGCAGTGCTGCTTTATCTTAAATCTACCTTGTTTGACTATTTGACTAGCCATGGTTTTTCTTGGTAGTTGGGTTCATTTTTTAATAGCTTGTTAAAAATTTACTGTTCACCACTCTGGAGTTTGTTTAGATGTGGAGCAGTATTTAAGCGCTGCATTCTGGTAGCATTTGTATATTTGCAGTAAAACCAAGTTGGTTTATTGAATAATTCAAACATAGGGGAAAATTGTTGCAACTGGAGGAAACTTGTGGAAAGAACAAGAGATAATAGTGGACAACTTAAGAAGGAACAGGTCATGAGAAGCACTAGAAAAAGCAACATGAGTTTTGATGAAGCATTAAGTTTTTCACATCTAGAAATTTAGCTAATACTAAATACATTCCCTAGTATGTTCCAGTGCCCATGAGTTTGGAAAGCCTATTTGCAGCTCTTGGAAGTGTGTCACATGAGCTGTCAACATTTCCTAATACACTGTACCTGATACTAGTGCAACCCTTGCCTTGATATATGAACACCATATTTTGTCAGCAAGGGAAGATCTTCATTGCGTCAGAGAGAAGAGTAACATGTCTGTAAGCACTTTAAATTAGCCCTAAGCAGCTGGGTTTGGGAAGGGTGTGTTATGTAATCCTTTCATATTTTGTAATGGTCATTCTGGCATAAACCATTGGGAGTAGTTGTAGCTTGGCTGAACTAATCACATTTTTTCCTGTTGATAAAATAGTGTTGGGTGTTTAAACCTATTCTGTGAAAGAACATATTCCTTAGAGCCACAAAGCAGCTTTGTATTGAGGTCTTCTAAATGAACCTTGCCCTGTGCACATACTTAATTTATTATATAGCCAAGAAATAGAATTTTCTTGTAATGTAGGGTTGAACTTGGGGGTAGGATAGGACCCAGCTATAGAGCTTTTCCCTTCCCTACCCAAACATGGAAAGAAACTATTAGCTTGCTGGAGCATATGTTTTTCTGCATATATTACTGAGGTAGTATGAGAAGATGACATACGGAATTGGTTTTCAGGCCCATGCCAAAACGCATGAATGTTTTTATTGATGGGAAAAGAGAAGAAGGAGCATTTAAACAAGCCAAGATGACAGAGGTAGCCCAAGTGTTCTTGTGCTTCCAAGCTCTCTCAGTCTAAAGCCTCAAAATCGTGCTTAACATGAAAGCAGACTGCTGCATCAATATTTATGTAATGCATGATGGCATTTTAGCTGACAAACTAGCCTCTTCACCTGTACGGAGCACGTGCAAAACATGAGTGCAACAGAAACACCACTACCACTGTGCTTTATGTAGTGGTACCTCGGCTCATGGACGCCTCAGTTCATGACCAAATGAGGTCGCAAACAGAAATTCATAAAAATTTTGTCGCAGGCCGTGAACTCTGCACTGGGTGACGACCATGATCGTGCCTGCCTTCCCTGCATGGGTGCGGTCGCAATCGTGCTCGGATGGGGGAGATGGCCACAATCGCACCCGTCCTCCCTGCCTGAGTGTGACCACGTTTGTACCCGTCTTACGGCTGTGGTCGCGCTCGTGCCGCCCCGAGGCTTCGGCAAATGGGGCGGCATAAAAATGTTTTAATAAATAAATAAATAAATAAACACGGTCGTGTGGGTGGGCGGAGATGGCCGCAATCTTTGTTGTTCTCTGTCACTTTGCTTCAAATTTTTGTGAGTAAAAAAAAAAAATAGTTGCAGAATGGATTACCCTTACTTACATTGAACCTTATAGGGAAATTTGCCTTGGCTCATGACCAGTTTGGGTTGCGACCAGAGTCGTGGAACGGATTAAGTTCATGAGCCAAGGTACCACTGTATAATGTTTTGTAGAATAACTTGTTGAGGGCTCTTTAAGAATTCCTCTCTTCTTATGACACATGGGACTGTCCTGTCAGCAGTAAAATTACCACTTTTTGTTTTCTGCATGAGTTAGTTTCTGTACTGAAGCTGTATATTTTGCTTTTATAATCAAGTTGACTGCTTAATTGTCGCTATAAGGCTTTCCTAAGCTATTCTAAATTAGATTACATATAATATTAAGAACAAAGGGGGTTTTAAACTTGGAAATTGAGAAATGCTACCTTTTTAAAGAGAAGTTTCATCCTTCAGCTGTTTTACTAGATATGTTAATTGAGCATGCTGTATTCTTGCCCGACTGACTAGTTTTAGAGGTTAGAGGTAATACCTTGATAAGGAAAAAAAGTAGGCTTTTTGTGGCTGAATTATGCAATGACTGCTATATTATCTTGGTGAAGTAGAGGAAGAAAAGAATTAAGGGACTTTCATTCATCCAAAAAAGATGGGGTTAGACACTGGGCCATATAAAAGGGTAATTGCATTCTGACTGGGTGGGGGATGGCTTTAAAAACAACCTGAGACCACACAGTTTGTGCCTTTTCAGTGGTTTTGCTGCAGTGCAACAAATTGAGTGGAAAGGAATTGAAAACTTGTCACCTAACCTTTATGACCTGCTCCAGTAAAGTTTAACAGTTGTTTTAGTGAAGAAAGCATCTCATTATATAGCCTTTAACTGAAAATTCCTGGGCACTGCTCATGTGAATGGGCAAATCCAAGGCTTGCCATTCCTCTTCTTTAAAACTAGATTAACCATTCTGCAAACTGTGTAAGCAACTGGAAACAGATTCCAAGGGGTTATATGAGTCTTAATTTTTCTATAGGTGGAATGGCCTTTAAAAGCTGACTGTTTTAGTGTTCAATGATAAGCGCGACCCAATTATGCTGGAAAAGGGTCCCTTCTATTTTCCTTATCCCCTCTTTATCTCTCCCCTGAAATAGCTAGATTGTCATACTGCCCAGGGCCTTAAAGGGCTTAGTTAGTAGTCACTCCTTCCCTCATGGAGTTTAGAATTAAGCTTTATAATTCATTTCACCAACTGGTTTGTTTAAATGCCTATGCAAAACTCCTCAAGTCTTGTCTTCTTTCCCAGTTAGGTAAACATGTCAGTGCAGGGATTTGGGGGGGAACAGGTTAAATGCAAGAATGTGGGGTGGGCAGTTGCGTGCTCAGTTCTACTACCCAGATTGAGAGGGAAGAAGAAGAAAAAAGTAACAGCCAGACATTGGAGAAAGCTATGTTACAGCCTAGCAGACCTGCAAAAATTCAAGCTCATGCTCTTTCATGCTTAGGTATTCCTTTGGAGGATTTAAAAAATACCCATGGTGGGTTCTGTCATCACCCAAAGCTAGATCTGTTCTTGCAGAGGGGCTTATTTGGGGGCAACAAGTCATCCTGACAGCCCATGGCTTGTGCAGCTTGGGCAAGGGGAGACTTGGAGAAGCTTGAAAAGGTGGAGGACTCTTCACCTCTTAAAAGCCAGCTGAATATGATGCTGCATGGGAAATCTTGTCCTGCTCCCTTATGTCTACCTTCTTTTGTAATATTTCCCTTGTTCAATGGAGGAGTCTTGTTCCCTGGCAATTGTGCACAAATTTGGCTACATGCAGTCTCACCTTTCAGCTTACATATCTATTCTGCTGAGTGCTCCTTTTGACAGCTGAAACAGATGAGGCAATTGACCAGGCAGGGTTTCTCCTACCAGACAGCTGTAAGTGTGCTCCTTTATGCTCACAAAAGACCAAAAAAGCAATTTAAAAAATCACAAATACAGCCATGCCATTTTCTGGGACAAAAAAAGATCCCTATGGCACATTTTTTAGGTTCTAAGAGTTTGTTTTTTTTTAAGGTGAACAAAAATGGGTAGTTATCTGGGAAGGGTGAGACAAGAGAAGTCCTGCTGCGAAGGACCCTGACTGGGGACTGAAGGATAAAGAGGAGGAGAATGGGAGCTGTTGGCCCGAGGGTCGGGGATGCCGTGTGTTGTTCCATGAACAACCCACATTGTGGTGATTATTCATAGGGCATCAGTCTCGCTCTGTGTTAAGCAGCTGTGGTGAATGACCACAAAGTCACCAGCATGCTACTGGTTTTGGGATTTGTTTTATAATTATATCCTCCCTAGACTAATAAATCTTAAAAGTACCTTATAAAATTAAAACCATGAAACAAAAGAAGTACATAAAACGTTTTAAAAATTAATTCTCGGCCATGTTACAAAAACAGCCAAAAGCCCTACTTTGCACATTCACATTGCAATTCAGTATCCCTCATTTGAAGAGGAAAAGCCTTTGTACCCTTGTTCAGCCTTCAGCGAGTGAAATTGAGTGAAAAATATATGCAAACAATTCCATGAAGCATGTGACATGACTTCTGATTAAGTAGCTTTACTGTTTTGAATGTCGGTGGGAGAACTCAAGACAGCTGCAAAGTAGTGCTGCTATTATAATATTTACCGAAACAGCCTCAGCTATTTCCCCTTCTTTCTGCAGCAACTGCTAGGTCAGTGAAGATCAGTAAACCTGCCCCCATCACTGTAAACAGCTCCACCATTAGCAGCTATCTTTGTCTCTGGAAGATTACAAAATAGTGCAGCTTAGAACATGAACTGAGTTGTGTTTATGTCTTGCTAAAGCAGAACATTTGTTCAGGTTTCCAGCACAAAGCTTTTTCCTGAATGAATACGAATAGCTTTTCTTGTGAAGTACAGTGATTTTATCTGTTTGGATTAATGCCATGTGTTGACTGAACATGGAAGAGGAAATGTCTGTTCAGTCTGAGGGAACACTAATGGTCTAAAAACAGTTTCCCGTTTTTCTGGAAATTTTTGCTTCTGTTTACATCTGTTTATTCCAGTGCAGTAGCCTGGAGTGGCAACTTAAGAATAACTGCTTGGAAGGAAGTCTGCAAAATCGGGAGAGCCTATTTCTAAATGAACAAAGGGGTGAAGAATTATTGGAACCCAGGGACTGCTAGAGAAGTTTCATGGTGGTCCTGTGATTTTCAGACATCCCCTGAGAGAGAGAGAGATAAAATTCTCCCCCCAACCACAAATTAGGACCACAAAAATGAGGTAGATGTTGCATGCCAACACTCCAGGTTCAAACCCAAGCATCTTCAGGCATGAGATGATGATACCAAACTGGATCAACTCATGATAAGAGGCAGCTTCCTGCATGTTTTGTCTTCCTCACATTTTTGCAGAACCTCCTTCCTTCCGCCATCTCAGGAATAGGCAGAAACACAACTCCACAGGGAATGGGTGGAGAGAAGAAAGAGGGAAACATGCCAAGAAGCTGCCTTAATGTTTTGCCCCAGGACTAAATGTTTTTGCCATAAACTCTTTCCTTGGGCAACAAAATATGCTCTTGTATAGGAAAGGTTTACAACAAACGGGAAAAAACCTTGCAAAGTTTGCAGTGAATGCATTACTGAACGCACAAATTTGGCCCACTGTGATTTTATCCTAAGTGTCTTGTCTTAGCTGTGTGTGTTCTGTTATTCACATGGAGAAACACAGCAAGTAATTTTTAAAATATTTCTTATTTAGGGTGGCAGGGCCTTTATTGAGGAACAACTGGAAGCATTCAAGAATTCTTCTTTTGACCAGTGGAAACACACAGACCCTGTCCAGCTTTCTCCTGGAGGTAGTGCCTTCACTTCCAGACATTTTCTCTGTGATGAGGGTTAGAAACATGCTTAGCATCAGAAAGATGCACTGCTTAGGCTTTTGCATGTGTTATAGTCCCTACCTTTGTGAGCAGGTGGGCATATCTGGCAGTTTGAGAGAGTGCCTTTGGTCCCCTCACAGAATGGCTGTCATGGAGATTACTTGCTCACAAAATGGCTGCCAGGCAGGGATCAGCCCATAACAGCACAGCTATTTCTCTGAAAGCAATTGGGTGTAGCTAAAAGAAAAGTAACTTGTCCAAGAAGTCTCAGTACAAGGTGGCGGTGAGGTCTGACCTCTGAAAAACACAACGGCACTTCTGAACCAAGAGAGACCCACCCATATCACTCAGCCATACCCATAAAACATGTATGAAGTTACAAAGGCCACCCTAAAAGACACAAAGGCAAATGTATACAAACCTAACCAACACATCCCCTCTACACCTCAAAAATACACTTGTGTGTTCTTCTGCACAGTATCTGTACCCCTACTTCCTTTCAAAGTCTTTCAGATGGGTTCAGCAGCATTTGGACTAAAGGCAAGAGTACAAAGAATCTCCTCTGAGATCAAAATGTTTGATCTTTTCCCATTTCATATGAGCGTAATTAGACGCGGTTTTTGACTCCAGGGCTGGCAGAATGAGAAATTTGTCTGTCTTAGATCTATTTCATTGTTTGACGTCAGATACAGCATTCTGTGTTTATCAGTTGCGCTGACCTGTTCCATCTGCATCTGGAATATCAGTGTGTTGATTTTGGAATCCTGATCACAAGCCAGATACTCTTGATAGAAATTTTTGAAAGATTGGTTGATTCTTGAATCCTTCAAGAATGCATTGTGTACTGTAAAGTATCATTGCTTCCCAGGGTGCCATGGACAGCTATGGCAGCCTTCCCTAACCTGCTGCTCATGAGTTATGTTAGACTAGAGCCCCCATCATCCCCAGTCAGCATGAATGATGGGATTTGTGGCTCAACGCAAATGCAGAAGGCTGACTATGATATCAGTTAGTTAGAAAGCCCTTACATCTTACATAGAATGGTGCTGAATTGCTTGTCATCACTGCACTGATGTGCACAGATTTTGCAGGCTGGAGTCCACTGTTAGTAAAGAGCAGGATTTTGTCCTTCCTTTGTTGTGAGCCCTCGACTAACTCTTTCAAGGATTTTCAGTTGCCTCTGAGAGCATAATGCTCTGTGGTGCCAGGCATAATCCAGTGAGAAAGATGGCCCTGACGGTACCCTTTGAATCACTTGGCAGAAATATTTGGTACAATTGAGAAGGTTCCACGGATGGGAGACCTCATGGAAACCAAAGGTTTATGGTTGAGCAGGAGGTATCCTTGAAAAACGCCCTGCTACATTTGCCAGAATGGTATTTGGCCCTCCGCTAAGTTTACTTAGTTTGGTGGCAGGGGACTCGTCTCTTTCTCCCAGAATTCTGTCTTGATTGGGTCACAAGGCAGCAAGGACTCCCCCCAATGTTTCAGAATAAAACTTGGAGCTGGTTATGCTTGGGGAATATTATGAGATATGGTACCTTTGCACTGTTGTCTGTGAAGCCATTTTGCAAGTTAAAGACCCAACAGAACACCTCACTGTATTTGTATAGCTGTGAGATGTCAGTAGTTAAATTTATTTGCTCATTAGTGGAGATATGAAAGCAGATGAATTCCCCTTCCCATGCCTTTGAATAAACAAATGCCCACGTTACAGAAGAGATTAGGCACAAGTTATGCTTTTTTTTCCTATCAAGGGAGCATGCCACCTTTTAATTTGATTAATTGTGTTTGATTATATTTATATCCTGCCTCTTTTTTCCTCTTCCATGGAAGCAAAGATGGGTTACATGGTTCCCCACCTCACACCCTGCTCTCCATTTAATCCTCTCAATGACCTGTGAGATGAGTTAAGCTGAGAGTTAGTGACTGTCCCAAGCCCAACGAGCTTCATAGCAGAACTGAAACTAGAACCCAGATTGCCTGAATCCCAGTGCAGAACGTGATCCAAGGGTTTTAGGGAGAAGATAGTGTGGTGGTGAATTCTTCCTTCTTGCACCTTGATTGGGGGTGCCCTGTGGCTACCATTTCTGTGTCTAGTTTGGCTCTGATGCAACGGGAGGGGGAGGAGATTCTAACTTCCCAGATATTATTAGAATGTCCCACTCCAACCCACATGTCCGGTCAGATTGATGGGAGTTCTCTTCCAGTAACATTTCAAGTGCTGTGCCATAGGATTCCTGCTCTTGGTTTAGAGTGTATAAATTGCAGTGTCACGCAGTGTTTACTTCCTAAAGATTTTCTTGGCAAGGTCAGCTATGAATGCTTGTAAGTCCTACAGATCTTCCTTGGAATTGTTTCCACCTCTGTTTGGAAATAATTATCTTCACAAAATGTGGCTTCAAGTTCGCACATCTTTTTCATGGGAAGAAATAGGAAGCATTAAGTTGCCCAGATGAACCCCCAAAAGAGCTGGCTTTTCCTTGGGGCTGCATTCCTTAGAATCTTAGATCCAGAAATACCTCTGCAGGGTTGGCTGCAACTTTTCCCCATATAACTCCATCACCTTTGGTCATCCAGAGCTTCTAGTCTGAGATACACTGAAAAAGTCCACTAGGCTAAGCCAAGAAGTTTGATGGCAGCTGATATTTAGAAATAGATCAGCCTAATCTCATCTGTGAGCACAAATGAGATTATGTGAATATGTGTTGGGTACAGTTGGAGAGATTGTTTCTGCGTCTACTTCACCTCTCTCCCCTGCAGAGTCAAATATCCTGGCCAGAGGCAACATCTGCAGAGCACCATCATTTATTGGGGAATGTATTCCTCTAGGGTGCACGGACTAGGTAGAGTGGGTCCTTTCCTGCTTGGCTGTTAGAGAGGATTGAAGAAGAAGAAATTTCAGGACAATTTGCATGGGTTGGATTCAGGTTTCTTGCACATCACTTAAGAGGTGGCCAAGGACTGTGCATGAAGGGCTTCCTTTCACCCTGCAGCCTCCTTGGCTTCCTGCACTTCAACTAAAGCCATGAGGTGGTTCTCCCATAGGACTTTTTCAGGCAAGGAAATGCAGGCACCCTGCGTGTCTGCAGAGCAATGGACAGATGCAGCACACATGCACCCCACACCCTTGGCTCCAGCCCAGGGATTAGCTAAGCTAAGCTCAAAAACTGGGGGGGGGGGAGTGACAGAGCTGGTCTAGACTACCTCCTTGAGAGCAATAAAAAAAATATGAGAGGTGGCTAGAGTGCAGATGGAGGAAATGTTCTGGTGAGTGAAACTGAGCCCTGAAAAGTGCCTATAAGCAGGAAAATTCACACTGAGGGTGGCTAGGAAACATCTCACTTTCTCCATCCAGTCTTCTAGAACACTCTTTAAGATCATTTGGGGCCTATTCACACTGGTCCCAAGAACATCTTAGACCCGTCTGAGGACCTCAGTGATATATTTGCCAGGTACTTCCAGAGTACTATCTGGTGCATCCTGTGGGACTGTCACACTGTAGCAGTTGAATCAAGTGAGGTGCACAGAGAACAGTCTGGTCCAGTTTTAGGTTCAGCTGGAGAATGCTGATAAAGGTTCAGGTAACCATGTCTGTACTGGAACCTTGCCCTTCTTGGCTGATAAAAGCCAGCAAGGAAGTGACAACCAGCTGGGTCAGGGAGGTGATTGATGCCTCCTTGTGAGAGGGAGTGACCTCATGCCATCGGAAAGAGAGAAATGGTGAGACCACTCCTAAAGGTAACCTCCCTTGACCTGGAAGGTCCTAGCAACTTTGGACCAGTGGCAAATGCACCCATCCTGGGGGAGGGTTTTGAGCAGGTAGTGGCCAACCAGCTCCAGGCTGGATGAGATTGACTGATTATATGGAACCATTTCAGATGTGCTTCAGGCCAGGTTTTGGTCTAGGAGTGGCTTCAGTCACTCTGTATGATGACCTATGCTGGGAAAGAGACAGGGGAGTGACTGTGTTGATACTACTGTGCCACTTAACAGCCAGCTCCAGAAGGTGCTGCTTGGGGAATATTGCTTGGCCCCAGCATTTCCATATTTGTTTGTTTGACTTTCATTCCACCCCATTAGCTTGAGTTTGTCAGGGTAGCTCTTATTCCTCCATCTTAAGATCTACATGAAACCACCACATAGATTCATCCAGATGTTTGGAGTGCATGACCATCAATCAGTACACTAGGACACACAGGTATATTTCTCCTATTCAGCCTCTTCCGATGAGGCTGCGCATGTGCTAATAACCAGTGCAGACTGGTTCTGGGCTAATAAAGTGAAGCTCAATCTGGAGAAGAATATGTTGTCAGTGTGTGGCTCTTCTGACAGGCTGGGAAGTTCTCAGCCTTTTCTGGATGGGGTTGAACTCCCCCTGAAGGAGCAGGATCATAGCCTGGGGGCCCTCCTTGACCCATCCTTCTCTCTTGAGGCTCAGGTGGCCTCAGTTACATGGAGTGCCTTCTACCAGTTTAGCTGGTGGCCCAGCTATGCCCCTATATGGACAGGGATAGCCTGGCTTACGTAATCTGTGCCTCATAAGCTCTCAACTAGATTGCTGCAATGTGCTCTACATGGAGCTTCCCTTGAAGACAGTTTGGAAGCTACAGCTTGTCCAAAATGTGACATCCAGACTAATAGCTGGGATAAGGCCAACTGACCACAGAACTGTTGTTCTGGCCACCTGCACTGGCAGCCTGTACTTTCCCAAGCCCAGTTCAAGGTACTGGTTTTTAAGCTGCCACACTGTCCATGCCTTGGGATCACAACACCTACTGGGATGCTGCTTCTGACTACAATGTACCTGCTCACTGTGCTCAGTATCTGAGGCCTTACTCCAAATGCTACCTAGGTAGTCTTGGCTGGTGGCAACATGGAGGAAGGCCTTCTCTTCCCCAATTATAGAACAATCTCCCCACCAAGGCCTGCCTGGCACCAACTTTACCTTTTTGGTGCCATCCCCTTTGCTGAGGTTTTCACTTAACTCCTAAAGCAATGGGGGTCACGAGGGGTGGACATTGCCAACTGTTTTTCTACTGGCCATGCAGCATGGGCCGGCTCTGGCTGCTTAACTGTGACACATGGCTTCAAATACAGTTTTAATTTTGATATAATTTTATAATATATGATTGTTGTAATCTGTATTATCTTGCATTGTGTTTACTGTTGTTGTTCACTGCCCAAAGGACTTCAGCTATTGGGCAGTAGAGAAAGCAGATGGATAAATGCAAATGAGAAACAGCCCTCCTCAACAGCAGACCAACTTTGCATCAGCTGCATCAGATATACGCTTGTTTTCTGGCTCAATTTAAAGCACAAGTACTAACTATAAAGCGCTTAAGATCCAGCGACCTGTTTGTTTGAAGCACCACCTACACCAGCTTCCCCCAGCGTGGTGCCCCATGGATATGCTTGACTACAGCTCCCTCCAGCCAGCATGACGACGCTGGCTGCAGAAGGCAGAACTTGATCGCTCATCTGGAGGGTACCAGGTTGGCTACTCGGCTGAGTTGCAACAGTTTGAATCTACCCTTGGGCATTTTGTTCTCATGCCCATCACTAAGATGGATCTGGTTGCAGGCATCGAGGATGGGACCTTTTCAGCAGTAGCCATGCCATGGCATTTCTAACGTGCCTCTAAAAAATGTGATGCAGAAGCTGTTTGACGTATCCATAGAAATCACAACTGTCAGTTGCCTTGGGAGATCTTGCCTCCAAAGGTGGGATAGAAATAGTGGGGTGCACCCCACAACTGGGGGAGCTGAAGTTAGGTGTGATGATAGAGTTCGGAGTAGGAAGGTTCGTAGCACTATCCTCTCCTGGAGTAGAGAGCTGATCTCGGTTTTACCATCTGGGGCAGCCCTGTTTTGGGAATGTAATGCAGAGCTCATTTCCTCTTCAGTCATAAATCTGGCCTTGGCTGGCTGAAGTTAAGCTTGTGTGCTCAATGAATCAGTGAGACTTCTTCTCTGGAAGAGCGAGCCCGAACTGAGCGATCCGCTAAGATGTTATCTCAGAAGCACCGAACCTCTTCCAACAAAGGACTCAATTTCATGTCAGAGAAATTCCCAATGGCTGCATTCCAGTGGGGGGAGGGAGGCAAAAGGAAAGAGGGCAAAATACCAAAAAAGCCTGCCAATTTTAGCCCGAAGTTCCTACTGCCACTCACTTAAGCCTTAGGAGAAGGACTGCAGTAATTTAGCATGGGGGGAAACTGCACAAAAGCCAGGAAACCAGCAAATGATCACAGATAAAGGATTATGGGAAAGGCATGGTCATCAGGGGAGTGCAGGTGGGCCAGGTTTCACACCTGGGCCTGCAGTTCTGCACCTGAAACTGCAGATAGAGGAATATATTCTTGTTCCCAGCCTTTCATAAACCTGGTTTCAGTAATGTTAGTTGATGCAGGGAAGAGATGGCGACTGCAGCTTTGGCCCACTTCCTCCACTTCTTTGTCATGGCAAGGGCGGAGCAAAGCAGCAGGGCCACTGACTTCATACTGTAAAATGTGTCTGCATTTAAATGTACACTTGGGGTGGGGTGGCTTGGAGCCAAGCCACTAGGTCACTCCCTCTGAAAGTGGAAAGGAATTCATTCTGCCACCATGAAGTGCCCTTTTCTGTTTCATCTGGGCCATTAAATGCATAAATCTTATATGTGCTTCAGAAACTGAGTCCAGGTGTTCATTAGCTATCTGAACATACGTTCAGGTTCAAATCCTGCCACTTCCCCTACCCTGTGTGTTTTGTTATGGCTGGACACACAAAAAAAGTTCTCAGAGGGAGCACCTGTGAATGCAAAATAATAGGACCCCCAGGGTATAGAATGGGCTTCCACGGGAGGTGGTTGAGGCCCCATCAGTGCAGGTGTTCAAGGACAGGCTGGACATACACATGGTGGGCATGTCATGAGTGGAGCTGGGTGGAGCCGGGGGTCAGACTAGATGGCCCGGGAGGCCCCTTCTGACTCGCTATGTTTCTATGTTTCTACAGCAAAAGATGCACAATTATGGATTGTCCCAGAAGGACTGCAATAAATCCCCTGAAGTTTTCCTTGCAGTAGAAGCATTGCTGAATAAAGTGAAGGCCTGTTTGTTGTTTCTTAATTATTCATGTCCCTTCTGTGACCTCTGTGCAGTCAGAAGTGTGACACTGTGGGTCCTTCCTCCACCATTTTGGTAATGTGAATTGAACTTAGGCCACATAGGAGGAACTAAAGCTTCTCCTCCTCCCCAGTATTGCCATCATTTTCCTGAGTGGGGCTGCATGTGTGTTTGAAGCCTTGTGCAAGCTCCTTGGGGCATGCCCTGTTTACTCTTGCAACAAAGGAAGGCACTGCACAAAGAGAATAAGAAGGGGAAACGGCTGCAGTTCAGTGGCCGAGTGTTGCATGGAAAAAGTCCTCAGATCCATTCCCTGTCATCTTTGGGAAGGACTCCCTGCCCGAAATGCTGGCAAGCCATGCCAATCTGTAGGCAATGCTGTACTAGATCGGCCAACAGCCTCACCTGCTGCACAGGAGCTCCCTCCGGTATCCCTGATGTTAAAAGCGGCAACAGTAGCAAAGTGCAGTGACTGTCAATATACTGCTTGCCCTGTAAGCCTAAACCAGTTTGGGGATGGGCCACTTAGACGTGAGTCTGAATCTGAATGCAGTTTGGAAATGCAACATTCCAGTTTTCTCATTTCATTCCTGTGAGTGTCATGGGAAATCAAGAGATGACTATAACTTTCTGTCTGTGTCAGAGATGGATGAAATTTAGTCACAGCCTTCCCCGAAGAGGGAAGTTCTACCAGCCCAGGCTCAGAAAATAACTGCGGTGAGTTCTGTGCTCCATGCCATCTGTCTGTCTTGTCTATTTTAAAGGACTTGTGGGGCCAAGGGAGCATAAAACAAACTAACAAAAAGACTTGCCTCATCTTTTCACCTCTGGAATGGCCCAGAGTAGGAGGCTGGAAGATCTTGCTTTCACTTTTGGTTAGCCACAGCTTACTGTTTCATTGGAACTGACCAAAGTATAATTTTAATGCTGATTTCCTTGACACACGCAGACATCAAATCAAGAAGGGGCAAGCTGGACAAGTTTGTTTCCTCTTTGCCTGGTATAAACAGAGCTTTAGCCTGTTAACACTTTATGATGTTTCTGTTCTATTGTGGATAAACTCCCCCCCAACCACCCTCTTGGGGCATGGAGAAGTTGCTACAGCGGTTTTTGTTATTCTTTATGTTGTGAACTGATAAGAAATCCACAGAAAAGCAGTATAACTCTGTTATATTTACTCAGGCTACATGAGGAAAACAACTGTTGAGAGAGATAAAATGTCTTTGGTTTGCCTGTTTGGGGGGGGGGCGGGGTGAGGACCAGGGGAAGAAAAAAAAAATGCATAGCCATGGAAATCTTCTGAATGAACATACTGGCTTGTTTTGTTTTTAATGGTTGTACTTAAATGGACAGCCATATCTTAAATATTTTAAAAGCTGTTTAGAATAAACTAAATGCAGCTGCAGTGGTGACCTAAATTCCTCTTGCTCTACATTTCATTAGAAAGTGGATGTGTTTGCCTGCCAAGAATCTGACCAAGGTCATTTGCTGCTTCCAATTATGCTTTTATCAGCAGAATTCAAAATGTGCAGTTAACAGACTTTCTTCTGGTTCTATTCCTCCACCCCTCCCCTTCATTTAAAGAAAGTGCAAATATGCTTATCAAGCAAGAAAAAGTAGTATATGGCCCAAACCACTTACACTGGATAAATGGGAGCAGACTTGCTTTGTTTTAGGATCAGCATTAGCTCTAATCATTCCCATCTATGGCAAACGCTTGCCATATTTTTCCCCACACCCATCAGTCTCTCTGCAGTAAGAACATGTGGCATACATGGAATGTACCACTGGATACAGCGACAGGCAAGAGCCATGGCCATGCACCGGCTTTCCAGCAATTCCTAACATTCCTGTTTGCTGTCTGACTACAGAACACTGAGCTAATAATTGTGCTCTGCTCAGCCCTTCATGACTCCGGGATCAGTTCTTGTAATGCCAGTGCTAGACCGCAGCCTTGAGTATGTGTAAATACAATTTCTTTATTCCCAACGTACCTCCTTTCACATGCTGCAGTTGCTCTTAATTATATCTTACCAGTTGTCCCTGAACTACCAAATACAGTGGTACCTTGGCTCACGAATTAATCTGTTCCAGGACTCTGGTCGTGACCCAAATTGGTTGTGAGCCAAGTTAAATTTCCCCATAAGATGAAATGTAAATAAGGTTAAACCAATCTAACCATTTTTTTAAATCAGAAAAATGTGAAGAAAAGTGACAACAACCAAGATTGCAGCCATCTCCTCCCCACCCCAAGCACAAGTGTGGCCATCTCCCCACCCCCGCAGCACGACCGAGATTGCGCCCATCATCCCCAAGTGCTGGGGGAGGGGGAGAGACAGGCGGGATTGCAGGCACACTGGGGGGGGGGAGACGGGCGCAAATGGGGCGCGCCGGGGGAGGGAGAGACGGGTGCGATCTTGGCCATCTCCCCGCCCCCAGCACTATCGCTGCCATCTCCCCACTTGGGAGATGGCCGCGATCGTGCTGACTGGGGGAGGGGAGATGGCCAAGATCGGGCCCGTCTTTCCTGCAGGAGCGTGCCCGTGATCACACATGTCTTCCCTGCACGAACACAACTGTGATCGTGGCCTTCTCCCCACTCGGGGTGGGGGTGGGGGAGATGTCTGCAATCTTGGTCACCACCCAATGCCGAGTTCGCGACCTATGTCAAAATTTTCAAGAAATTTCTGTTCACGACCTGATTTGGTTGTGAACCAAGGCGTTCGTGAGCTGAGGTACCACTGTAATTGCGCTTTCCACACCAGCAAGGTTTTATTGCACCAATAAAAATCGGCTAGTAACTGTGTGTCTAGTCCTGTGAAGGAGGCTGACATAAGCAGGGGCAGGGACAGGGAATACACATATTAAACAAACACCTTTCCACTAGCTGCCTCCTTGATTTTTGGAAATGGAAAGAGGTGGTGATTGTTATTCTGGTTTCACTTCTTGGCACAAAAGGGACCTCAGCTGCTAGAAGTGTTGCATTCCACATCCCATCCCCCTCTAGTCCTGAAACCAGCTGCATATGGAAGGCAGGAGAAAAGAAAAGCATGTTTCCCCCAGAGGCCAGAGCTGAGTGAGGGCTGGAGGCCGGCCAGCCCCTCCTCCCCGGGATTTTGCCTTTGAATATGAGAGCACAAAGAAATGGTCAGGTAAATTAGAAGAAGCTGGTTTTTAAAGCTATGATTATATCTATATCTGTAATTTTCACAAGCCAAGGTGAAGTTCAGACATTTTCTTTATTTTGGGGCTGCAAGCTTTGCGTATCTTCAATAGATAATAACGAATCAATGAATGCATAATTGAAGCCAATATTAATCCACCATCATAGCCTCTAACATTGTTTGTTTACTCTCAGTTTCAGTTTATTGATCACTGTATAGTGTATTAAAGCCTCCTGATAGTTTCAAAGTCAAGACCATTTCTTTGAGGACAGAAATATAGCTCGCTGTCATAAGCAAACTGATGACTTATACTAGACCTTTGAGCAAAATCTGCCAAAAATTCGATATAGACTGAAACAGGGAGGCTTCTTTGAGATAGCTATATTTCTGTCTTCAAATGAGGAGAGCTGAGAGTGTTGTTTCAAGTGCAGTCTGCAGGTGAGAGTGTTGCACCAGGGGCCCGGACGATGCAGGTTCTAGTTCCTGTTGTCAGCCTAACTTAGGGTGGTCGTAGTTGTTGTTGGGATAAAATAAAGCTGCGTCCACCAACTTGATGAATCAATTTTCTGCATGTGAAATGTTTGCACTTTGATCTCTTCCTCCAATGAAGCTGCTGCTCAAGGATCTTTACCTCTGATGCCCTTCCATCTCTTTTCTTTCTTTCACTGACACACATGAAAGAAAGAGCTGTTTCTGTGGTGGCAGTCAGAGTGTGGGACAATCGCTGTTTGCTTTTTGCCTGCTGGTAAGCAAGCTGTGAAAATGCTGTTGTTGCAGCTCTTTTAAATAGGCAATGCAGCTTCCGCATTGTTTGATTGTGATTGTACTTTAAATTGGTTTCTATACTTGTTTCTAAGTTCTTGTAAGCTCCTGTGATCTAGCATGTGCCTAGAAAGGTCAGATATAAAATGTTTGTTATAAAGTAAAATATTTAGTATATCTCCACCCACCATGGTAGTTGCTCTTCCATTTGTTATAAAGGCTGTTCGGAAAGGAAACTCGGGAAAGCAGATATTCTGCACAAGTATGGAATACAGTATTGGTATGTAGTATTCATACCAATACAGTATTTTGTTCCTTGAGAGTGTTCATGTCTTGCCCTTACACATGTAATGGTTGTGTGATAAGCAGGGGCTGAGCGGGTTCAGATCTCCCAGCTGATGTGTGTGTACATGTAGCTAAGTGTGTCTGGGCAGGGGGAACCTCAGTGATCTCAGAATCAGCAATGCAAATGCAGTATTGCTTGCTTAATTTACATAACTTTGAAGCCCTCAGCAGACAGTGTTGCATAAATCTTGGGGAGCTGCAACCTCTTTTAAGGGTGAGTAGTGCCCAGCTAATGATTACTTAAGCATATTTAAACTGGGATTTTTAAAGACAGAAATGTTCCATTATTTTTCTTTGATGGACGCATCCAGTTCTGTTTTAGGCTCATGAGTCGTTTTTTCTTTCTTTGCCCAGACATGAAGTGGACTCCCCACACATGCATCACCTCTGCTCCTAGCTACCGAAAAGCCTCAGGCTTGGAAAGTATTGCAACTTGTTTGCAAACTCACAGTATTCTACTGGAGCCAAGGCAA